ATCTCAGCTGCTTATAGGCAATAATAATGTAGACATTTTATTTTTCTTACTCATAATTATAAATTTATTATGCATATTTTAATATTATCTAGGTTCATAAGTAAATTAAAATTTTTGGCAGGTGATAGTTTTCATTTGTTTTTAATGCAATTTCTGCAATTTTTCCATTTATTTTTACAATATTGCACATACATCACAGCACTTTATAATCACATGCATCCTAGAAAATTTCTTTAACTAACTTCAGAAAGATTTATCAAAATCCGAATAATAGTTCAAGAGGAGTATACAGTAAGTGCTTGTAATTTAAAATGAACTTTATATAATAGCAATAAAGCTTAAATTGCTTCAACGAACATTTTAAAAAAAGAATTGGGCAAATTGGTCCAGGCGTTGTTGAGTTATGCGCTTACCAACATATTTTGCGATTCATTTTTATATATAAAATTGGTTTATATATTATTTTTTCATATAGTTTTGTTTCTAGTTAGGGTGTTAAAAGGTGTAACCTCTTTTAAAAATGTTGTAATACACCAAAGCTCATTATAGCTGGACAACATGTCATCAACTTTAAGTATTATTACCTTTACTCGCGGCCACTGGTCATCCGAACAAGCACTTTCCGCCTTCCTCGGGGGCTCTCCGAAACTTTATAATAATAATCAAAATAAAATTACTATAAAAGCACAACATGGGTTCTATTTCGACCCCTTTTGATCCAAAAAACATAATTGAGAACAATACTCACCAGCGGGATAGATACGTTCGAGTAGAAAATCTGTTACTATTGAGTTTTCAATTTAACACAATGCAATTCTTGTGTCTATGTTTTGGGTAGAGCGCGTTCGAGCGTCGCAAAATTTGAATCTGTATCGAAATCTCCCGATGGGTGGCCATTAAAATCTAATGTGGACTTTTTTGTGTATACTTCAAATGCTCGGCAGGGAACAAGATGTCGAACCCTTTTATATGTATAAAAAGGTCTTTATTGAATGACTTTTAGTCCTTTCGACAAACGGGATAATGTTTTTTATAATAGTAAGGTTTTTATAAGCACCTGGTACGACGACATGTGTTTGCATTTTATAGACATATTTTTATAAGGATTGCTTAATCTGTCTATAGAAGAAGACCGATAAAATGCTTTTGCATTCATTCGTATCGCAAGCAACAAAGACAATTAGTTTTTCTGAAAATTTTAGTTAAACTTTTTGTCAAAAAGTTGTAGTAGTTGTAATAGTAAAATATGTTACTATTATATATATATATATATATATATATTTATTTATTTATTTATTTATTATATACCAATTGGCTATATATAGTTAATTATATAGTAATGTAACATAATAATGTTAAACTATGTTATTTTTACAAACACACATACGGGCACCTATACATACACTCGTACATACATATGTCCGCACATGCACTTATATGTAGACTCAAACACACTAGTAATGCTAACAAATTCTAATAAATATTATTCCATTTGACAATGTTGATAAATGAATTATGTGATGAATTAAAAAAGTTTAGTTTTGTGCACTGTTTGTTGACCACCATTGCTATTCCGTTCATTGGATCGTTGGATATATGCATAGCTAATCGTGTAAATTCTAGATTACTTAAAATTATTTTTATTTATTTATTTTTTTATTTTTCATAGCAATCTATGCAATGTACATTAGGCAAAATTTTTGACAATTATGGAAAATGGCGTGACAAGGATACATATAGACAATGTCTTAATTATTAATTATAAAGTATTTAGTATTTCATTTTTTGAACGTGTAAAATTTGCAATTTCTATCCTTTACCTTAAGTGACCGTTGTTTGTACAACACCACAATAAATCAAAGCCAATTTCTTTTTATTTCGTCACCCCATAAAGCCAGCGTACATTTTTCACGTCACGTTTATGCAAATAAGTTATTTTGTATTCGGGACATTCTTTTATTAATTTAAACAAAAGGCATTTATTTGCATTTTGATCCGTCATTCATCCAATGGCTATTACATTTGGAACAAATATAAATTGACCCGTTACCGCCCAGAACCATTGCCCTACGATTGCTTTCCATGGGTCGTTTTGTGATGTGATGTTGGACCCTTTGTTTCACAAAAAATTAACTGCTGTACATTTATCAAGTTGAACTTTGTGTAAATGAATGAAATAAAAATTGGGAAGGACAAGAGTTCTCTAGTAAGGTCCACTATAAAACTTTGTTATATGAAGTTAATAGATATGCATGCGAGTAGAAGTCACTCTTTTTAGTATTTTTTGTACATAAATTTGCATTTTTAATATCAATTGTTCAATATTATAAAGATGTAAAGCAGCCATAAAAATTTATTTATTTTGAGTATTTCAAAAAATTTGCGGTTTCAAAACTCAGGCAGAATTTTAACTTACATTTTCAACCACAGAATCAATGGTATTTATTTTAGTAATGAATTTATTTTACTTTTGTTCCAAGCTACATCTAGCTCTACTGTAAAGGTCTTGACAATCCCTGATATAATCAAAGGGTTAAACCTGAACCGTGCAAGGCGTGAACAAGCAATATGTAAATAAGGTCTATAAACTCTGATATATTTTTTTGCCCTCTAAATTTGATACTTAATGTTTGCAGTCTCATTAATTTAAAGTTTGTTATTAGCTTTATCAATCAGGATTAAAAGGAAATACTTTTAACCCTCTATGGACTTGCATAACTTTCAGGTCACATTCCAAATTTTTCGATATTTTATTAAATAATTATGGCATAATCTTAATTCTACATGGTTGTCAAGATAAACAATGTCATATGATTTGTGTTAGGCTTTTCAACCTGAAATAACATTTTTATATACAGAAGTTCGAAGCATGTGATTTTCAAAGTCACATAATTCATTATTATTAGATACATAGTTACTAATTTTTTTAGGTAAAATAAAAATTTGGCTCATAGGGGTAATATGTTTCTATGTTGAAACATATTCAATATTCCAATTTTACAAAAAAATGAATCCCTGTTTTTGTTATAGTAATGTATAATTGTTAAGATTAATAGCGAAATATTACCTATATATTTGAAGGTACTTTGTATTCCCAAACGTCTTTAAATCATTCTGCTTACCTTTACCCTTATAAACCATTTAAAACAAAATCATTTCGTTTTATCGTTATTGCCTTCCCCGATCTACCTTCTGGCTGCTTCACATTATATCAATGTCCAAACCATTAAAACAAGGGTCTTTTCTAGGTCCAGACATCCGAATAATTTATGAACGTCCGTTCGTTTGTCTGTCCATCCGCTTAATAAAATATTTGTTCAAACCCCTTTTGAACCACACACATGGCTGCCAGAATTATAAATTATGTCGCGACTTCAATAATTTAACAATAATTTTTACACGCATAGTTTAATCGCTTTTCATGGGGCAGGTATTACATATGTCTTTAGGCCTTTAAACAATAGGAAAGGGTTAACTTTTTGACGTTAAATAGGGGTTGATAGTATAACTGATAGTTTTTTTGGTAATTTTCATTTTCTAAATTATCATTATATCCAGTTATGTTCATTATATTATTACGTTAGTGCACAATGTATGATAAATAATGTTTTGTGTGTATGGATAGTTTTTGTAATTGGTGACAATAATCGCGATGATCGAATAAAAAGTTATTTTATATTATACTAGATGACCCAACAGACGTTGTCCTGTACCCATGTCTACCATTTTTTAATATAATATACTAATATTTCCTGTTTACCTAAAAATAATAATTATTGTTTTTTTTAAATTACTCTTCACGCCAGAATGCGTATACATATATGATATGAGCGATGTTAAATGCAGAACTGCTTTAAATAAAATGATGAGTCTCAATTCCCACACTATATTGGAAATTGAAGTGTTTTAAACGGTATAACATAACCATAACCATAACATAACACTGGTACTTCATGTTGGATTAAATTAATTTAATTTTTTATTATATAAGATATCTAAAATTGCGTCTTAAACTTCTCCTAATCGACATCGCGAGGGCCGAATTGCATGTATTCATCTTTACTTTTCCATTTGTCGTTATAAAGTGAAAATTTTACAAATTTTAAAAATATTGTGGAAAGATTAGTAAAATATGCAAAGAAATTATGTATTCATAAAAAAACTATATTGAAAATTTAATATCCGAATCTTGTGTTGGCGCCCCCTAAGGCGTGCGCTCGTATTTTTCGCATGCATCGCATTAAAGGTAGGAGCGGCCCTGATTAATATTTAATTTCATATTTCGAGTGAATTAATTTTTTCATATGTGTATCATTGAATCTCCCATACATATACTGTATCTTATATTATTTTAATTTCTGGCACATCTCAGCTGCTTTTTGGCAATAATAATAGACAGGCATTTCATTTTTCTTATTCATAATCATAAATGTATTATACATATTCTAATATTGTCTAGGTTCATAAGTAAATTGAAATTTTTGGCAGATGATAGTTTTCATTTGTTTTTAATGCGCACAATGACTGGTCATTTTTTGCATTTTTTCCATTTATTTGTACAATATATGGGAAGTATGTGCATCCCAGTATTTTATAATGTAGAATTTTTTTTAAACTTTTTTTAGATTTATCAAAATCCGAATAATCGTTTAAGAGGAGTATACAGTGAGTGCTTGTAATTTAATATGAACTTGATATAATAGCAATAAAGCTCAAATTGATTCTACTTTTTAGTTAGAAAACATTCTTATGTGAAAAAGGGGCTGTTTTTCGGGTCTGGCAATTATTCAATTTTTTCTCGCCGTAAGAACCATCCTTGGACTTAAACGAACATTTTAAAAAAAGAATTGGCCAAATTGGTCCAGGGGTTGTTGAGTTACGGGCTTATCAACACATTTTGCGACTCATTTTTATATATAAGAAGATTTAGAAAAATAATTATTAAAATCAAATTTATTTATATTTTTATTACAATTAACAATTATCCTTTTCCCTTACAGGTTCACATCCGATCGTCCATGATAATGAACGGCGTCTGCGTGCGCTGGCGCGGGTGGATTGACCTAGAACGACTGGACGGTGTAGGTTGCCTGGAATATGACGAACCTCGTGCCCTTCAAGAAGACGCTATGCTCAGGGAGCAGATCGACAGGTACAACCAAAGATTGAGAGATTTCGAAGAAAAACAAAGAGCTTACCGGACTCATCACTATCAGCCTGATCACCATAAGGCCCAAGAAGAATTAGACGTCGCTGGATATTATCATAGAAGACAAAACATGATGCCAGTTGCAACGAGGCGATAAAGTGTAGTAGAACTACATGTATGGCTTTGAGATGGTTTATTAGCACTGGATAAAAATTTGAGCACTGATTGGAAAGCATTATTGAAACCGAAGGAATAATAGCAAATATGTTTAGAGTTTTTCATAAACTCTTTAAATTATGTCATACAAATATGAATGTTTGATTAGTCGATTATTGTAAAGGGATCTAAGCTTGTATCATCTGAAGAATTTTTTTTTACTAAATCGGATGTTGGCTGGTTCATCATTAGATCATCTTCAAAATATGTTTATATTGAATGATCAACTTAATTTTGTCGAAAAATGACCAAAATTATCTCTCATTTGGCAAATAGTGAGAGATTATCTGCATATCATTAAGATATAAAGCAAATTCATTTCGATGGGTCATAAACCGTCAACTTTTAAATATTGGAAGAAAAACATCACGCAAGATTTTAAATCTATGCGAATTATATTTTTAAATTTTGCATACTAAACATCATTACTATCAGTGACTTTTAACAAAGACTTTTTTGTTTTGTGAAAATATTTGCGCAGCAAGTGAACACAAATGTTCTGTATATATACATAGATGTTAATGGATTGTGATATACTTTGGGTTTGTTAAAATAGTATAGATGAATTTTTGATTTGTTAATAGAAATTGAAAGTCTCATAATCTCATTAGAATTTAATTTAAACTTTGAATATGATTTTTATATTTTACTTAATTTACAATCAACTACTTAATTTTGAAAGTGGTATTATAAAAATTTTCAATTCAAGTAAAAACGTTGTATGTTAAATATGTTACAACATTTTAAAATGTAAATTTTTGTATATAGTATTATTTGAATCATGTTTTATATAGCATGTCTGACACATTACACTCTTCTTGAATTGAATGTTTATATTTAAATCTTGATGTCATTATACATGTTTCTACTTCTCAAGAATTATAGTCCATATTACATTGAATTCTCAACTATAAATTATATAAAAATATAAAATTGATATTATATTTATTTGCAATAATTATGTGAGAATAACATATTTAGATAAGATGTATAAAAAACTATTGTATAGTTGTATAAATTGTATATGTATTTTATTTTTAATTTTTACGGTTAGCATATAAATGTTATTTTGTTTGTTAAAATTTGTATTATAAGAGTCCTAAATAAACGTATATCTGATTAAATATTTGAATATGGCGCCTTTTTGTTCAAATTAGTTTTGATTTTTCAGGTTGCAATGTTGGCATAGACATTTACCGCGCTTTTGTAAATGTCAAAGTTGTTAAATAAATTCGCAGTATTGTACAAGTGACTAGGCATAAGTGACGTAGTTATTTAATTTATTTTATCAAAAGTAGATGATAATATTTATTTATTGTTATCCTTAATATATCAGTGATAATAAACAAATACTTTAAAGCAGTATTAATATTAAATATCGATACTGTTTTGTAATAATTAATATGTGAAATCTGGTCAAAGTGACGTTACGCCGTGTGATGTATTTCTTCATCGGTAAGTGCATAATTGCTTTTATATATTGATACTCACATTTTATTTTCTTCTATTATATTGATTTGTATTGATATATTTATAAAGTATAATAAGCAGTGCACGATCGAAAAAAAATATCATTCGAAATTAGATTTGCATTTTGAAAATTAATAGTAAAGCACCTAGCCTATATGACACATGCTTCATGTTTTTGTTTGAGCATGTATATATAGAAGGCCTTAAAATACGTTTTGATATAGATTATTATTATTATTATTATTATTATTTTGAGATATTTTAAGGCCTTCTATATAAACATGCTCAAACAAAAACATGAAGCACGTGTCATATAGGCTAGGTGCTTTACTATTAATTTTCAAAATGCAAATCTAATTTCAAATGATGTTTTTTTATGATTGTGAGGGTAAATGCTTGTATTTTCTTTCTTCTATATGGACCTAAATTATGGTTCGATTACTGTCGATGATTAATTTTTTGCTGAATTTTTTTTAGATTTGTTTTGGATTGATGCAAAACATTGAACAATCATAATTCTTATTAAATATTAACTCGTGGTTTCATAAAATTTAGATTCATAGTCCTCATTTATGAATTAGAATATTATATCTAAAGTTATATGATTCTTCTCTGATCTTCATCTTGTTTTTTTTTATTTTATAAAAGTTCATATAATATGTGATTATAAATATCACATTATATGAGCAGATATTATTTTACAGTACATTTCTGATGTTAGAGCATTGGTTTCCAATCTTTTAGTACCTCGCTTCGTGTTCTTTTAGAAACATTAATGCGCCAACCTTAATTTTTTTTGCAATCTAATTTCATAAATATTCAATTGATATAATTTATTTGATTAACTACAATTCAATTCAACTCGATTCAAGGAAGGTTGGCATGAAAGGTTTTCCATTGCCATTTCACACCGCAGTGCCCGAAATTATAACAAAATATAATAAATAAATTATAACAAAAAAGTGACCAAAACGAGCTATTTTGCAAATATATTTTTGAACTCACTTTGCAAGAAAAAATGGACATCGCTGCTACACGATTTCAGGTTGCCAGAGCGGCTTGAACTCGCGACTTTTTCCACACGTGGTAGCGTGTTATAATTTAATGTACAATATGAAAATAATTATGTATTTATTCAATTTTTCATATGAATTCAACATTTGTGGTTTATTTTTGAATGTAGTATTTCAGAAACATTTTATATTCAATTTATTGTATTTTTTGTATTATTTCTTTTTTGCATCTATCAATTTTGTGAATAAGACATCAAAGTCTTGATTAACAAAAATAAATTATAACAAAAAAGTGAGCGAAAAAAGTTATTTTGCAAATATATTTTTAAACTCATTTTTTAAGTAAAAATGGACATCGCTGCTGCACGATATCAGGTTGCCAGAGCGGCTTGAAATCGCGACCTCTTCCACACAAGGCAGCATGTTATAATATGTAATATGAAAATAATTGTTTATTCATTCAATTTTTCATATGAATTCAACATTTTTGGTTTATTTTTGAAGATTTTAAAACCTACTCGCCCCTCTTGCAACACCCCCTCTGATGGGTTTTGCTCACAGAGCTCTGATCATTTTTTGCATCAATTCTCTTCAAAGTTTATATATTTTAATAAAATATTTCTAAATTAAATGAGTGGAATTTTTTCTGCACTACGTTGATGTTGTTAGAGCCCATTGCTCGATCCGAATCATTAAGGGGCTGATTCTGCCGTAAAATATACCAATGTTATAGCAAGGCTATGTTACGTAGCAATTTTCATATACAGTGGTACTAAAAACTGTTAAACTGTCCTACGTGGTTTCTATGCAGTCAGGCGTTTTAGATGAAAAATCTAACTTAGCAAACGCCCAAATGTCAAAATACGATGTTATCAACTGCATCTTTGAGGTATGCCTTGATAACATATTAGTGAAGTTGCATTTTATGTGTAAAACGCCTGATCGCGCAGAAGATACATGGCATTTTGACCATATTAGTAGCATTTTATTTGAAAACTGGAACATAACATAGCCTTTCCATAACATTGGTCTATTCTGCGGTAGAATCGGCCCATAAATCTAGATATTTTTATAGAATATGGTTTGATAACATATGAGTGAAGTTGCATTTTATGTGCGAAACGCCTGATTGCACAGAAAATACATGGCATTTTGACAATATTTAATAGCATTTTTTTAAAACTAGAACGTAACATAGCCTTGCCATAACATTGGCCTATTTTGCGGCAGAATCGGCCCATGAATCTTGAAATTTTTAATGTTAACCAAATTTACATCGATAAAGGAATTTACATCGATTATTTCGTGAATGTTTGGTACCTAATCTCGGATGCTAAAAAACGTCCTTCCTTATATAATCACCCTATTTGAATGTCACCCCTTTCTTTTTCTTTAAGACATTTTAAATTTTATTCATCCTACAACACGGTGTGCATTTATTCTGAAAGTTATCCCGTAAAGCCTTCGTATCCGATTTGTAAATCTGCTCAGAACGTAATCGCCTACGATGTACCGTTTCCTACGGTTTGATTCGCCTCGAGGGCGATTTTGCATTTGTCGAATAAAAAATAAGGCTGCGAATAGAGGGGCGAACTGCGTCTTTAGTATTTAAATATTCATCCCAAAAAAGCTACCGACTTAGGTATCGGTGTTACAACTCTTTCAGGAGCTGCTGAATAATCCATTGGAGAATGGATTTTGTAATGGTATCTTGGATTTTTTTTAACTTACTAAAGGTTTGGATGTTTTGCTAGGAAATTCCATTGGCTAATTTTATATTTTCTCGAGGCTTTGAGTCATTCTGAATTGCTGCACAATTAATGAAACTAAATACGGATTAGTAAATAATTATCGGTTGCGAATCATGCTGATTACTTTTTAGTAAAGATTGACTTGGCATTTTATCGTAATTAATAATGAAAAATTTTTATTAACGATTTTGATGCTACTTTGCATGATTATGGTCTTAACGAATACCATAAACTATTTCATAAACTAGTGCTGCATGGCATCGTGCCTTAAGGCAAATTACTGGTACTTCCTATACCAAAAACTAAATATTTAAAAAAAAATTGCAAAATTTTGAAAAATTTTGAAATTTTTGGAAAAAAATGACTTTTTTGAAAAATTCGATTTTTTTATATTTTGATCTTTTTTGTATTTTGATTTTTTTGACAAATTTTCAAAGCATACGCTCTGCATAGCCTATATAAATAATTTATATTTATACACAAAATGTAAACAAAATTTGTACTTTTGAAATTTTTGGAAAAAAATGACTTTTTTGAAAAATTCGATTTTTTTATATTTTGATCTTTTTTGTATTTTGATTTTTTTGACAAATTTTCAAAGCATACGCTCTGCATAGCCTATATAAATAATTTATATTTATACACAAAATGTAAACAAAATTTGTACTTATTATAATAATCTTGATAAAATATCTGATAATACGATG